GTATGTATGTATGTATGTATGTATGTATGTATGCATGTATGTATGTATGTATGTGTGTATGTGTGTATGTATGTATGTATGTATGTATGGATGTATGGATGTATGGATGTATGGATGTATGGATGTATGGATGTATGGATGTATGGATGTATGGATGTATGGATGTATGGATGTATGGATGTATGTGTCTGTATGTGTCTGTATGTGTCTGTATGTGTCTGTATGTATGTATGTGCCTGTATGTATGTATGTGTCTGTATGTATGTATGTATGTGTCTGTATGTATGTATGCCTGTATGTATGTATGTGTCTGTAGGCATGTATGTATGTATGTATGTAGGTAGGTAGGTATGTATGTATGTATGTGTGTCTGTATGTATGTATGTATGTATGTATGTATGTATGTATGTATGTATTTATGTATGTATGTATGTATGTATGTATGTATGTATATGAATACGTTTCTATATGAATATGTATGGTATGTATATGTAAATGTATATGTAAATGTATATGTAAATGTATATGTAAATGTATATGTAAATGTATATGTAAATGCATTTGTAAATGCATATGTATATGTATATGAGTGTGTGTATGTGTGTATGTGTGTATGTGTGTATGTGTGTATGTGTGTATGTGTGTATGTGTGTATGTGTGTATGTGTGTATGATGTATGCATGTATGCATGTATGCATGTATGCATGTATGCATGTATGCATGTATGCATGTATGCATGTATGCATGTATGGATGCATGTATGGATGCATGTATGGATGCATGTATGGATGCATGTATGGATGCATGCATGTATGCATGTATGCATGTATGCATGTATGCATGCGTGCATGCATGCAATTAGTGTATTTATGAAATTAATGTATGTATGTAAAAAAATGTGTGTATGTAATTAATGTATGTATGTAATTAATGTATGTATGTGATTAATGTATGTATGTGATTAATGTATGTATTTGATTAGTGTATGTATGTAATTAATGTATGTTTGTAATTAATGTATGTATGTATGTAATTATTGTATGTATGTAATCAATGTATGTATGTAATGAATGTATGTATGTATGTAATTAATGTATGTATGTAAATAATGTATGCATATAATAAACGTATGTATGTAATCAATGTATATATGTAATGAATGTATGTATGTAATTAATGTATGTATGTAATTAATGTATGTAATTGATGCATGTAATTAATGTATGTATGTAATCAATGTATGTAATTAGTGTATGTATGTATGTATGTATGTATGTATGTGTCTGTATGTATGTATGTATGTATGTGTCTGTATGTATGTATGTGCCTGTATGTATGTATGTGTCTGTAGGCATGTATGTATGTATGTATGTATGTAATGTAATGTAATGTAATGTAATGCAATGTAATGTAATGTAATGTAAGATAACGTAATGTAATGTAATGTAATGTATGTAATGTATGTAATGTGTGTAATCTGTGTAATGTGTGTGTAATATGTGTGTAATGTGTGTAATGTATGTAATGTATGTAATGCATGCATGCATGCATGTATGTATGTAATCATTAATGTATGTATGTATGTATCTATCTATCTATCTATGTATATATGCATGTATGTATGTATGTGTATGTATGTATGTATGTATGTATGTATGTATGCATGTATGTATGCATGTATGTATGTAATCATCAATGTATGTAATTCTTAATGTATGTATGCAATTATTGTATATATGCAATTATTGTATGTATGTATGTACGTACGTACGTAGTACAGTAGGTAGGTAGGTACGCTCAGGACGCCTCGTGCGCCTTCGCTCAATCAGTCCATATCAGTCCATGGAGGGGAGGTCTGGGGGGGTTGGGGGTGCAGGGCAATAACGTTCAAGTCGCTTCAAGTGAACTTGCATCCGAAGGGGCATGCCTTTGCACAACGTACTCTTCCAATTTCGGCAGCTGCTGGAGACAACTTGGCACAAAAGCAGTTACGAAATGTCAAACCAAATATGAGAAGACAAAATGCAGTGGGTTGGGAGTTCAGGCAAAAGCGGCAAATGTACGGCGTTTTGGCAGCAGCCCTACACAATGCTTCGAGGCGAACAAGTTGAGCTGGCAGAAATGAGCAAAAAAGTGCTTTGCAGGCGACGGCGAACCAGGCGCCATGCGCGTGATATGTATATATACATATAGATATATATATGTGTGTGTGTACATTTGTTTGTGTGTAAATGTATGAATTATGCATAATTAAGTATATAGATGATGTATCTAGATATCTATACTAGTGTAAATGTGTCCGTGTGTGTGTAGATTTGATTATCTTATATCTGTGTGCGTGCATGCATGTATGTATAAATATCCTATATATATACATATATATATAATTATATAATTATATACATATATATATACTGTATATAATTATATATAATTATATTGTTTAACGATGTATAACGCATATATGTGTGTGTCTGTGCATTTGTTGTCATTTCTGCGCATATGTCAAACATTGTCAAACCAAAGAAAGAACATGAAAGAACCGCAAACCAGACCGCTTCGAATCAACACACAGCCAAACACCCATGCCGGAATCATTAATCCTCCAAGCACATCCAAGAACCAAGGAGAGCCAGAGTGCTTGAGCGCTTCTTGCTGATGACGTCTGCCAGCAGAATCAAAAGCCTGTCACCGCGGGACGTCTTCCCTGCTGTTCTGGTGGTGATTTACTCACTGGATTGGTTGAAGGGAAAATCTATATACCGGAAACCATGGTTTTCCCCATCAAATGTAGAGGCTTAATCCTGCAGTTTTTTCCTTGAACCAATCCAGTGATTTACTGTTCTATATCTGTTTTGGGTGGCCTATGTCATATGAAATGTACAGATTGAAATAGATGAAATAATATCATATACGGTAATAATTAATATCAATGTTGGTGCCTGGATGCTTTCATTGGGAGAGGAACTCAGTTCACCTTTGCATGTTGCACCTTTTGGGGGCACCCTCAATAAACCCCAGCATAGCAACCAGGATCAATGCATCCGGTAGAAATGGCCATCGACCCAAGTGCCAAGGAGCGGAGCCAGTTGAGGGAAGTTCTCAGGAGACAAGGTGGCAGAATGGTTGTAGAGAGCCTCAGCGGGATTTTTTCGGGCTGGTGGCAGCGGGATTTTGTCGTCCCCATTTTCCGCTTGGGCCACTCTGACTGGTACGCGCACCAGTCTGGAAGATCCCCGCAAACGCTGATGCGTTCCCATGGTTTTTTAGGTGTTGAGCTTGCCAAGGCCAATGATGCGAACAAGAAGGCAATCTGGAGCATACCAAAAAATATAGATTCCAAAAAATGCTCAAAATATGTGGTCTTGCAAGTTGATCGGAGAAAAAGCAATATAGAAAAGTCAATACTGAATACTGCAATGATTTGGCGGTTGTAATTAATAATTTCTGGTTGGTGGTTGAGCCACCCCTCCGGAAAAATATGAAAGTCACTTGGGGTTATGACATTCCCAATAGATGGAAAAATAAAACATGTTCCAAACCACCAACCAGTAATAATTTGATGCTTTGTCCGACAGTGTTTCTCCAGGGAGGTGCGTCGCCAGGCGGCAACGAGCAATGAACCCAGAGCGGCCAAATCACCAGCAGCCTAGCGCGGAGTTCACCACACAAATCTGTGCAAAGACACAGCCACTTAGAAGCAAAATGTCTAGTATAACATACATTGTGTCAACGGATTGGCTTAAGGAAAAATCTTAACCGGAAACCATTGATTTTCCCATTCAATATGGGGTTTTCCGGTTAAAATGTTCCCTTAAAACATACATTGTGGGGTGAGAAGCGCACGCGCGAGCACCCGAAACGCTCCCGCAAGGTCCACCTCCAAGCTGTCGCAAATCTCATGTTTACCTTGGAAACCACCGGCTGAGGTCTGAAAAGCAGCATTGAAACCAATGGGTTTATCAATGTTTATCAACCATGTTCCCCAGTCATATGGCCAAAAATTGGAGTTAACAGTTCATTCCTGTGATTAAGTGAGCCAAAATTGAAGGACCAACCACCATAAAGAAAATCTGGCACGCTGCAAATTCCGTTTTTGTTTTCATCCCATATGGTATTGTAACATTTCTAACTTACTCAATCAAACACCTGTTCGGAACCGACATAACATGCCAGAGACCTTTGCCATCAAAAAGTTTGGCTTCACATGTTTGGTATCGTTTGGTACCCTCAGGTATCCAATCTTTCGACAGGAAATTGGTGAAATCCCCATGGTTTTTCTGCTTCCCCCCATCTTACCACCGGGCCCTAAAGGGGGGCTCAACGGGGGCAGTTGTGCTGACCCAAGATACTACTCAGAATCCAAGCATGGACTTGATCCAGCTTTTCCTCGAAAACGCACATGGCTGGGAAAGTCCCGAAAAAATCCGCAGGATGGAGCTGTTCATGGGAAATTCATAGGAAAACTGTAAGAAACATGCGAAGAAACGACTATAAATGGAGGGTTTAGTATATTTTCATTGGGAAATCATCCGCTAGTTGGAGATGTTCCAGCTAGCCATGTTTGATTACCGGAGGGTCAGTCCTGCGCTGCATGTAAAATATGAAATGACGTAAATCAGCATGAATCTGATGCAGCTTCTGAACTGCACCAAAGTTCTTTTATGATCTTGTCTTACTAAGCAGAGAGGTTTCATCATAGAGCTATCCGTTGGCCTTGTTGCGTGTCGCACATAGGAACGAATTCACTCCGTTCCTTGGTCAAACGCTCATCCTTAGATTTAGATAGTCTAACCGTCTAACCATCTCTTTCATCTTCTCAAGCTCTGCAATGTGGTAAGTCTCATCACCAACCTTTCCGGATATGGTGTTCAACCTCCCAAATGGTAAAACTTGGATAAACTTCAATGGGCCATCAATAGGGCCTGTTTTCTCTATGGGGCACATCAGTTTCAAGAGTTTTAAAGGCTCCAGCCATAGCCCCCGCATCCCACCCGAACTTTTCCATCACTTTCCTCAGTTTCCTCAGTTTCCAGGTCTTCTAGCTAGTAGGGCCTCACAAGGCAGGCAGTTGCCGCAGTTGCCACAGCTACCTGCTTCGCAGGACTGATGCGGATCACAAAAAAATCATTGGCCAGTTGGGATCAACCTTGAACTTCTCTTTTAGTGCAATTGAAAATTAAATCTTTAAAATCATCAAAGAAACCGTTTATTTAAATTGCCCAAAAAAAAACTTACAAATATAATTAAAACGGATGATGGAAACCTGAGAAAAGGCATAGTTGAAAGCCACCAAGACACTACTTTGCTTGGCCGCGGCTTTGGGTTTTGCCTTTCGCGGTTTGGCTTGGACGGGCTGACCTTGGCGCTGGCGGCTGCAACAACGTAGGGCGTAGCCGCAAATGGCCACGAAATGCCAGAAGCAGTCGGCAAAGAAGCGCAAGCCACTGGAAGTGCCCTCCATCAAGATCCTGTGGGAAAAATTATCATGACCCAAAGCAAAAGCCAACATGGATGGTAGATGATGGGAGTGAGAATAGCGGAAATAGAGAAGATGTATATAATTTGCGCATCATGGCACATCTGCCGCCGGTCTATGTGTACTTATATGCATTAATTATATATATATATATATATATATATGCATATACACATATATGTGTGTGCGTATTTCGCTCTGTGTCTATTTCTTTGTCTTTCTGTGTCTTCCCATCTGTCTATCCATCTGTCCATTCATCCCTCCATTCATCCTTCCATCCCTCCATCCACTGCCTACACAGAGCCTGATTTGAGCTGTGCCCTGTCCGCCAAGGCTTCCGTGCTGCTTCCGCGCAGCTTCCGCGCAACAATGATGTCATGATCCACTTCCGCGAAGCTTCTGCGCCGTGTGCTTCATGTTATATACCCTTCCGCGAAGGCTTCCGCTGTCTTCCCCGCGCATGTGTTTGGCTTCCGCGGCAGCAAATCAGTTTAATTCTTAATTCTTATACACATTCCTGACATGATAATTATGTACATAAAGAGGTTTTTGCCGCTGCTCATTTGGCTTTGAGCGCCCCCAAGTAACACCCCACACTTTCAGCACACCAAAAACAGCCAACCCTACCGCCTGGCAACGTCTCTTCCAAGAACACTGGCCAGGACGCTGGAGAGTATTGTGGTCACCAGCATTTCCGGAATGCTCAGGGCCAAATTCTCCTCAGCAAAGTTGGTGGTATAGAAGTCTTCCGCCATAATGCGAGGGCCACAACCACAAAGCCAATAATTGGCAATTTTCAAGGTCATGCCTTCCGCAAGCACCTCAAAGAGTGGCACACGTTCTCCAGCAATGTTGCCAAAAAAACGAAGTCGTGTCATCTGTGTCGGTCTCAGTGCCGGACCCCTATCAGTTGCAAACACAGGATATTTTTAATGCCGTACATTCCAAGGTTCTCTACTGACGTGCCATGACCCACTTGGACATTGGTGCTATAAGGTGGTGCCTTGCAGAAATAATTATGTTGGTTTATGAACCCCTATTAACTATATATCTTTACTGGTGCCATAAACCCCTTTTACTTGGCCAAGCTATGTGCACCCAAAAATACTGCGCCAACATGGATTTTGCCGTGCCTCTTGGACAGTGGTCTGCACCCCATCCTTCGCTGCGGATGCCGGCCGGGGCGTCTTAGCCTTGTCCCCCTGCAGCAGCTTCAAAAAGTGCCGCAGGTTGGAACCTGGGCAGCCTTCGAAAGTTCCATGTACAACTCGGGGTTGGTTTCAACAGATTTCAACCCCAATCTCTCTTTCTGCATTACTATACATACATGCAAATACCATAGACCGTAATGATGCATGGTGATGTGAGTTAATTCTTCTGAGTTTGGGATGAACAATTGTTGAAAATCATTGAAAATCAAGTGCGATCGTAAAATAAATTTGGGGAGGTTCCAGGGTTATGACTTAGGCGGAACGTGGTGCAACTCGATGGTCTCGTTGAGATAGGATCCACAAAAACCGTCAAAAACCCTCATGGCATTAGAAGCACGAACACGGGCCCCAAAAAATGAAACATGTGCCTCATATGGCCTTGGGAAAATTCAAACATCAGCTCAACTCAATCCCCGGCTTATCATTAGAATTAGTCAAAATGGAAACGAGCCTCTTTCCTTCGAGAAAGGGGTGACCCCCTGCCATAGCCGGGGACACATGTTCGCGACGATTCCGCATGATTCCGCCTATTTGCCGCATTGATTTGCCCAAATCTCCCGTGCAAAATGCAGATCAGCCACTGACCAGACCACCTTCCCAGATGACATCTACATCACGCAGCTGTAGGCGTTCAATCCTCAAACGAATTCTCTGTCATCAGCAGGATAATCTAATGTTTGCTGGACACTAATTTTCACGATCCACTGTTAGTGGGGAGGAGAACCCTGGGGAGGACAACCACAGCATACTTCTGAGTGGGGTAGCATGTTCTCATTCTGCATTTAGGATGTTTATGGTTTGGAACTAAGCCATCAACCAATCAAAAACAAACACATCTGGGTAAATTATAATAGTTCACTAACCTGAATTAAGGCCATTTGGGGATGATTCCCCTTACTAACTATGATTCCCAGTGAGGTCGCAGTGAGGTCGTTATAATTTACCCAGACACATTGCCTTGGAAAAATGCTCATCATTTCAGCCAAGTCTCACCACTTGTCGCCCCATGGACGTCATGAACGCTTGCAAATCGATGTCTACCAAGAGCTCTCCTGGCCGGCCGATTGAACCACACGGGTTCCCCAAGCGCGTGGGAAGATGATGGAACATGTCCATCCAATTCTGCAAGATCCTCCGAAAATTTTCATGAAAATTGCAAAAACAGTAAACTTAGTAAACAACAAACAAAAAATGTAACAACAGATATAAAATCAAAAGATCCAGCTGTTTATTCTTCACCAAGGCTCCAATGTGCACAAAATATGGGGACCAGAAGCCGTAGGGATTCTCCAGCGTCAAGTCGTGAACCGCCACGACTCCTTCCCCTGGATGTCCCATGGATAGAATGACAGAAATGGCTGGGACTTCAACCATGGATATTGAACCTGAACTGGTAATCAGGTAATCATTTGTGGGATAAAACATGGCCACACCATAACTACCAATTGGAGGCTTATTGTAGTTGACCTATAATCCAGGCAGTTTACCACAGAATCGTTGACACGATGCAAATCTAATGTCGATGAATTCATGACGACCTCAGGTTCGCAGGGGGGCACAACCCCAAAGAACGATTTTTGTGGCTACTAAAATAACACGTGTCCTCCATATAAGCGCCCCGAGGCGAAAAAAATCCCTAAGGTTGACATTTATTTTATACATGAACCAACGGTAACCAACGTAGCCCGGTGCCCTTCTTACCCCTATGAACTATGACCGCAATTTTAAATAGACTTCAAACATATTCCAAAATATGGATTCCCCAACGGTTCCCTCAGCAAACTTCAAGTCCCTCGGAGATGTTTTCCCCTTTTTCAGAATGTGTCAACCATATTGTGTATGCTATATGGGTAGGCGTCAAACTCGGGCACCTTACAAAATAGACAGGATCACTACAAAAAAAATGATCAGCAATCGGCACCCGCTTTGACCCATACCCCAGAGTTTTTCATAAAATCCTGGGCAGAATGGGGCATTGTTGGGTGTTCAACCTCTATTTTTTTTGTCGGTTATTGTGGGTTTAATTGTGTTCTCTTTTGGCGATTTATAAATAACATCCCCCATGTACAGCTCGCTAGATGCTTTGCGGCCGACTTTATACAGAATAGCCTGGTATAAACTGGAATGGCCACATGTTTGGAGTCTATAAAGTGGAAAGCCAACATGTTTTGTCTATAAAGTCAAAATCCAACGTTTGTATAAAGTCGCCTGGCCGCGTAAAAACATAAAACTCGATGTAGGTTTTTGAGGGTACTTGTGAACATGTCCCATGACTATAAAGTGAGATGCCGAACATCCAGATAGTAATACTTGTGTCGAACAGTGGCACTATAATGTGGATTTCCTACTAAACAACGATCGTTGTAGTAGCGATGATTTTCTTAATCGCGACGATGGAAGCATCGACATGATTGTCTATAAAGTTGAGGGGCCACGTTCAAACTTTGGGGGAATATCATCGATCTCATCGATGGGGAACCCAAAAGATTTCGAATGACTTCGAAACCGAACGAAACCGACAGCCAGACAAATATCTATATCGAAGTCGTTAACAGAATCTATGGTAAAACAAAATCTATGTTGGACTGGCCACTTTATACCCCCTCCCCCAACAGAGAATGTTTCTATAAAGTGGCCAGTCCAGGTAAAACCCCTGAAAAAACAGAATCTATGTTGGACTGGCCACTTTATACCCCCTCCCCCAACAGAGAATGCCTCTATAAAGTGGCCAGTCCAGGTAAAACCCCTGAAAAAACAGAATCTATGTTGGACTGGCCACTTTATACCCCCTCCCCCAACAGAGAATGCTCTATAAAGTGGCCAGTCCAGGTAAAACCCCTGAAAAAACAGAATCTATGTTGGACTGGCCACTTTATACCCCCTCCCCCAACAGAATGCCTCTATAAAGTGGCCAGTCCAGGTGCCTGAAACTCTAAAGTGAGAATGCCTCTATAAAGTGGCCAGTCCAGGTAAAACCCCTGAAAAAACAGAATCTATGTTGGACTGGCCACTTTATACCCCCTCCCCCAACAGAGAATGCCTCTATAAAGTGGCCAGTCCAGGTAAAACCCTGAAAAAAAAAACAGAATCTATGTTGGACTGGCCACTTTATACCCCCTCCCCCAACAGAGAATGCCTCTATAAAGTGGCCAGTCCAGGTAAAACCCCTGAAAAAACACATTTTTACCTGGAATGGCCACTTTATACCCCAGCCAGTCGGCTCCAGGACTGACCCGGAAACGGAAGGATTGACAACAAGGTAAAGGGGGAAAACTACAACGGAGAGGTACAACGGGAAGGCTACCACAAGAAAATGAGACATGTCACGTTTATATACGTTTATTGTTTTCAATGTGTCATATAGATTGGCGATGATTGGTATATTGAATATGTTGTAGATGTATTTTGGAACATATGTATACCTATGATTCACACATCAATATAAATATATATATATATCATAAACACATGCCAAACCAAAAACTTTTAGCTGAGTATTGTATTCCCAATCTGTTGGCAAATGTCCAGCCGATTCACCATGCGTGACCCAACAAGATTCAAACTATGGATTGTTTACTTTCGAAAATATTGTTTTACTGGTTCTTGCAAACAATTTTATAGAGGATGGGCATGGACCGGCCAGTTTATACAGAGGGTGGGGCTGCCAGAAATGACGTGATCAAGCCACTTTATAGAGCTGAACTTTCTTGCAAACCATTTTATAGAGGATGGGCATGTGGCCGTGGTTTTGGTCCATAGATGTCCATAGATTTTTAGGATGATTTTGGGAGATTGTCGTCATAGATATACGTAGATTCACCCAGTATTTTTTTTCGAAAGTAAACAATCCATAGTTTGAATCTTGTTGGGTCACGCATGGTGAATCGGCTGGACATTTGCCAACAGATTGGGAATACAATACTCAGCTAAAAGTTTTTGGTTTGGCATGTGTTTATGATTTATATATATATTATATATTGATGTGTGAATCATAGGTATACATATGTTCCAAAATACATCTACAACATATTCAATATACCAATCATCGCCAATCTATATGACACATTGAAAACAATAAACGTATATAAACGTGACATGTCTCATTTTCTTGTGGTAGCCTTCCCGTTGTACCTCTCCGTTGTAGTTTTCCCCCTTTACCTTGTTGTCAGTCCTTCCGTTTCCGGGTCAAAGTCCTGGAGCCCACTGGCTGGGGTATAAAGTGGCCATTCCAGGTAAAAATGTGTTTTTTCAGGGGTTTTACCTGGACTGGCCACTTTATAGAGGCATTCTCTGTTGGGGGAGGGGGTATAAAGTGGCCAGTCCAACATAGATTCTGTTTTTTCAGGGGTTTTACCTGGACTGGCCACTTTATAGAGGCATTCTCTGTTGGGGGAGGGGGTATAAAGTGGCCAGTCCAACATAGATTCTGTTTTTTCAGGGTTTTACCTGGACTGGCCACTTTATAGAGGCATTCTCTGTTGGGGGAGGTGGTATAAAGTGGCCAGTCCAACATAGATTCTGTTTTTTTTCAGGGGTTTTACCTGGACTGGCCACTTTATAGAGGCATTCTCTGTTGGGGGAGGGGGTATAAAGTGGCCAGTCCAACATAGATTCTGTTTTTTCAGGGGTTTTACCTGGACTGGCCACTTTATAGAGGCATTCTCTGTTGGGGGAGGGGGTATAAAGTGGCCAGTCCAGGTAAAAATGTATTTTTTCAGTGGTTTTACCTGGATTGGCCACTTTATAGAGGCATTCTCTGTTGGGGGAGGGGGTATAAAGTGGCCAGTCCAACATAGATTCTGTTTTTTTCAGGGGTTTTACCTAGACTGGCCACAAAATAGAGACATTCTCTGTTGGGGGAGGGGGTATAAAGTGGCCAGTCCAGGTAAAAATGTGTTTTTTCAGGGGTTTTACCTGGACTGGCCACTTTATAGAGGCATTCTCTGTTGGGGGAGGGGGTATAAAGTGGCCAGTCCAACATAGATTCTGTTTTTTCAGGGGTTTTACCTGGACTGGCGACTTTATAGAGGCATTCTGATTCTCTGTTTGGGGATGGGGTATAAAGTGGCCAGTCCAACATAGATTCCGTTTTTTCAGGGGTTTTACCTGGACTGGCCACTTTATAGAGAAGAAGATTTCCCTTGAAAGGGGTCCTCAGGGTGAATGGGGTCCTGGGCAGCTCGATAAAGTGACTTGGATGATGTATCTCATGACTCTATAAAATGCTCTGCCGCAATTTTCTTTCTATAAAGTGCCCTGGATGCAGCACAAATTCTTCTTCTTAAAGGGCAAGTTTCACTCTATAAAGTGCTTTGCCATGTATACAGCCCCAACAGAAAAATATTGGCCCGAAATAATTGGGGAGACATGTTTCTATAAAGTGGATGGTGTGACATATTATGGCCATTCTTTGAAGGGAACCAACGGTCTATAAAATGCATTGCCGCATATATTGAGTCGTTTCCTTGTGGGAAACCAGCCGGGTATAAACTGGAAAGCCAACGTTCTAATAAAGTCATCTTCCAGGTCCAAGGGCATGATTCTTGCGCAAAACACGGCTTTATCCCCCATTGTCGGTATATAAAGTGGCGACCGGAAACCCACTTTATAAGCGCAAAGGATGTCCACTTTATAGTGAGCTATACATGGGGGATTAAATAACATCTTTTTTGATCTGTTTGTTTAAATGTTTTTTTTCTGCCTCAATTTTTTTTTGCTGTAAATCATCAGCACCATCATCATCATCATAATCATCATCATCATGATCATAGTAGATCATCTTAAAATCATCTATAGTACCACCGGTATCACCATCCCTTCTGGCCATCACGGTGACCTTCATCGTTTCTGGCCGAGTGGCCCACGGTGACCTTCACGGCTCCGAAGTCCACGTTGACGCCCAACAATTGCTCGTCGAAGTGTTCGATGGCCGCCTGGATCATGGTTGTTGTTTTTTTTGGATTTTTAAATGGGGATAAAACACCTATATGATCCTATATGGCTATAGATAAACAGCTTATATAGGCTAAAGGTGATTCATCATGATTTATCTATTGGTGATTCGTCATGATTCATCTAATATATCTAACATAGGTTATTTGTCATGATTTATCCTGTAGCCATATGATTATCTATAGCCATATGGTGATTTAAAGGGCTATATCTAATAAATGGGGGTTAAAAATGGAGATTCATCTAAGATACGTGATTTATCTATAGCCATAATATTGTGATTTCTCCAAAAAAATATCATGGTGGTGATGACTTGAGGATGCTATGGAATATGATACATAATATCATGAAACACACTGCCAGGAATTATCAGTGAACGCCACTTCTTTTCGTGAATATCGTGAAGATAGTGAACCCCATTGCCTCAATAATAAAAAATTAGATAGACAGATAGATAGATAGATTAATTAACAGATTGCTAGCTAGATTGATAGATTGATAGATTGATATATATATATATAGATTGATAGATTGATACAGAGATTGGGAGATTGAGAGGTAGATAGATTGAGAGATTAGAAAGATTAGATAAGATTAGATAAGATTAGATAGATCAGATAAGATTAGATAAGATTAGATAAGATTAGATAAGACTAGATAAGATTAGATAGGATTAGATAAGACTAGATAAGATTAGGTAAGATTAGATAAGATTAGATAAGATTAGATAGGATTAGATAAGATTAGAAAGACAAGATAGACAAGAAAGACAAGATAGATAAAATAGATCGAATAGATAGATAAGATAGTAAGATAGAAACATAGTAAGATAGTAAGATAGTAAGATAGTAAGATAGATAGATAGATAGATAAGATAAGATAAGATAAGATAAGATAGATAGATAGATAGGTAGATAGATGGATTAGATTAGTTTGTTAGATAGACAAATAAAAAGATAGATAGATAGATAGATAGATAGATGGATAGATTAGATAGATAGATAGATACGTAGATAGATAGATAGAAGATAGATAGATTAGATTAGATAGATAGATAGATTAGATTAGATTAGATTAGATTAGAATAGAATAGAATAGATTAGATTAGATTAGATAGATAGATCGATCGATAGATAGATAGATAGACAGATAGATAGATAGATAGATAAATCGATAGATAGATAGATAGATAGATAGATTAGATAGATTAGATAGATAGATAGATAGATAGATAGATAGATAGATAGATAGATAGATAGATTAGATAGATTAGATAGATTAGATAGATTAGATAGATTAGATAGATTAGATAGATTAGATAGATTAGATAGATTAGATAGATTAGATAGATTAGATAGATTAGATAGAATAGATAGATTAGATAGATTAGATAGATTAGATAGATTAGATAGTTAGATAGATAGGATAGATAAGATAGATAGAAGATAGAAAAGATAGAAAGATAGAAAAGATAGAAAAGATAGATTAGATAGATTAGATAGATTAGATAGTAAGATAGATACATGGCAAGAAAGTAAGATAGCAAGATAGTAAGATAGATTGGTAGATAGATAGATAGATAAGAAAGATAGATAGATAGGTAGAAAGATAGATAGAAAGATAGATAGATAGATAGGTAGATAGATAGATAGATTGATAGATAGATTGATAGATAGATCGATAGATGGATAGATGGATAGATAGATAGACAGATAGACAGATAGACAGATAGACAGATAGATAGATAGACAGATAGACAGATAGACAGATAGATAGACAGATAGACATACAGATAGACATACAGATAAACATAAAGATAGACATACAGATAGACATACAGATAGACATACAGATAGACATACAGAAAGACAGATAGATAGAAAAAAAGGTAGAAAAAAAGATAGACACAAAGATAGATAGATAGATTGATTGGTAGATAGGATAGAGAGAAAAGATAGAGAGATAAGATAGAGTGATAAGATAGGTAGATAAGATAGATTAGAACGATTAGTTAGACATGATAAACAAGAAAGACTAGATAGACAAGATAAGATAGATAAGATAGATAAGATAGATAGATAGGATAGATAGATAGATAGATAGATAGATAGATAGATAGATAGATAGATAGATAGATAGATAGATAGATAGATAGATAGATAGATAGATAGATAGATAGATAGATAGATAGATAGATAGATAGATAGATAGATAGATAGATAGATTGTGAATCGGAGGTTATCTCCCCGATTATGTGCTGTTGTTTGATCTTGAGGTTGATGTTCTCAACAACGACGACACGGGAATTGCAGTTTCAGCATGGCGGCGTTTTTCTCTTGGCACCTGCAGTAATCTTGAGCCAAAGGAGCAAATTGATGCATCCCTTGGCGGTGGACAATTAAGAGTTGAATTATATGGGAGTGTGCAGTGATCCGTAGCCTACACTCCATTCGCACCCCCGACGCATGGCCAACTTTGTTGGCCACGCGCAAAGGAGTGTCCCTTAAATTGATCCACTTCGTCTGCAGCTGTTCATTTGTTGAATTATGGAGAGCTAAAGTCCGTTCAGAACTTCAAATCTACATGGCGGCTTGCTACGATCTCTACCAAAAGATAAAGGTTCTGTTCACGTGCATGTCGACACGACGTAGTCGGTGTCAAGCATTGAGGTTCATCCGATGTGGCGTAGCCAGCATGGAGTCCCACTCAAGCATGTGAATTAAAAAATCAAAACACAAAGATGACTATGGAACTAGAAGTTTACCTTCCCGTTCCTTCGTCGGTTGAGACGTAGACCGCTGTAGAAACTCAGCGTATCGTGCAATGATGTTCAAAAAAAAAATGTGGTTTTAAATTAGCCGGCTCAGAGTCCTCTCAGAAATCATTCAAAATGAAGTAGAGGTAAATCTCGAGCAATGATTGCATCCTCGCATCGCCAGGTTCAATCGGGACCTATGCAGAGGTCAGATCGCTTAATCATCTATTTCCCCATCCATAGTATCCCTGATGGTTCCAGTCTCCGCCACGGTGTGAATAAGATTTTCCACCTTTTCCTTGGTCTTTTCCACCCTTCTTTGGCGGGGTCACTGGAGCTTGTTTTGGCGGAGAAGCGGTTTCAACTGTTCTCCATGTCGCTGACGATGATGCTTTCGCTTTCGACACTCTTCCCAGTGCTGGTGCAGCTTTTGGGGCTGCTTTCGATTTGCCAGCGGCTGGATTGGTACGTTCACGATCAGCAGGAGTCGGGGTATCAGCAATCGCAAGTATGTGAGCTTCAGACAAGTGGATGCCCCACCTTGGTCGTTGATCTTCCCGTTGCTTGATGTGATTGTAGTCATCGATCGCATCATATAGCTTTTGGAGTAGAGGTCGCGGCAATTGTCGGCCATTCTGAAGGATCAGGTGTAAAAGTGATATTCTTCGAAGTGGTGGACGAAGAGCACACACAATGTCAACTGGATTCAGTGTGATTGTGTCTTGAAAGTCAACGTTCCTGAAGAAATAAACAGCATTTACCCTATATGCGCCTGCAATGATTCTTCTGACCATGACGTCTTGTCGGTCGAGGGCGTCGCGGGCCGCTGTGGTCTTTCTCATCTCATCCATTGTGGTGTCACGTTTCGACAGCTTCTCCATCTCCTCATCAAAGAATATGTTTTGCAAGTCATCATACGTGTAGCCACATTCCAGGGTATATATGAGAAGTCTTTTGAGTACCACTGCTCCATAGTATGCATTGACGAATCCCTCTTCTCCGATGTCGTCCTTTTGATTTGGTCGGCCGATCTCTTTGTAGAGCTCTTTCATCTGTTGTGCAGTTGGTTCAATGAGTTCACCATTTTCATCCTCGCCCAGGTAAGGTGTTCTTGAGCCCAGGTCCATCCTGAATTTCTGGTTCTGTTGAAAATGTTTCCATGCCGTCTCGATGTCTCCACAGAAGTTCCGTTGGAATAGTCTGTAGATTCTGACGATATGTAATCCAATCTGCAACAGGAGGATCTTGATGAATTCTGGCTGAGCATCTCCAATTGTGCAAGGTTCGATCGGCAGGACCTTTGATCCAAACTCAATCCGCTGCATCCACTTGGGGTACTCAATCACTGCATCACGAGCTTCTCCAGCCTCGTACTCTTCAATGTTGATTTCATCGACCGCTATCTCTTCATCATCATTCTCATCGGTCGGTTTTCCTTCTTGATTGAGAAATTTGTCGACCTCATCTTGTTCTCTGAAGTCTCTTTTCTCATCATTGATGTCGCCCTTCTTCGAGGTTTGATCATCATCTCCTTCTTCTGGTTGAGTTTCTTGTTCTGGACTCTTCATGGTGACATCGTCATCATCTGGCATCACCTCGTCGTCATCATCATCACCTGTCAAATCGATCTTCACCTCCTCCCATGCTTTCTTGACATGGTCTTTGAGATCTTCTTCTCGATGATGCGATTCGGTACTTGGTACTGTAGCCACGGTGATCTTGATTCGTTTCCTCCATCCATGACTCATCAAAAATCCTTTGCACATCACACAAATCGATAATGGCGCAGGGGTCTCCATCAGACATGCGGGGCATAGTCGATGGTCCTCTTTGCTAGGGTGATGAGTGACTGCCAATAATGAAATTGCATCATTCCAATCCGGATGTCCAGGGAACAATCTGTGAGTATGACTGAAGTGACCGGTCCTGATATCGACAAGTTTTCGAAGTTCGTCTAGATCGGGTGATGATTCTTCAGGCACAATGTTTCCAATGAGCTTGTCAAATCGTTCAATGGTGGCCACCCTCTTTGCCCCTTGCACAGAAAGAACAAGTTGATCTCTTCCCTTCGTGATCATGAGACGGTAGTAGTCCTTTTCTCTCCAGTCGTAATACCAAACTGCATCGAATGATTCGAATGGAATTGTTTCTTGGACCAAAATGTGTCCGTCTGCTGATAATCGAGGGGAGAACTTGGCGATGGAATCATACGTGATGTAGATGTAGACAAGATCA